TTACAGTATCTACATAATTCACCAATCCGTCCTATTGAAAAGATCAAGTAATTACCGTAATTCATCTTCAAAAGTAAACGGAAACCTTTCAAGTGAAAGTGAGAGCCCCGTGTGACTTAATAATTAGCCCCCGTTACACCTGGTGAAAAGATCAAGTAATTACCGTAATTCATCTTCAAAAGTAAACGGAAACCTTTCAAGTGAAAGTGAGAGCCCCGTGTGACTTAATAATTAGCCCCCGTTACACCTGGTGGCACCTGCCAGGAAAACAATTTCTGTCCCTGTGTCACAAATATGTAACAAATGAAAAGACAGCAATATTTCAAGTTTGTTAAAATGATGTATGATTTGATGTGATAACCAAATATTGTCACAGCCCCAACTTTGAAGGGGTGAGGGTGGGCAAGTACTTGTTCTCCAAGCCAGTGAATATGGGCTTAATGATAAGTCATCTTTAATTAGTTGTAGAGAAGGCCTTACTTTACATTATCTTTAAAAGATTAGGCAATGAATAATTCTAAGTAACATTTTATCTAAGTAAAAAAGATAGTTGTAGCACCATGACTTCAAAGGCTAAAATTTTATACAAACTTCATCAAAGCACCATGTGAATGCCGTATCAAAATCATGCAGTCCCAGTTATCAAAAAAAAAAAAAAAAAAAAAAAAAAAAAAAAAAAAAAAAAAAAGATTATACTATCAAAGACTCAGAGCATTTCACCAATTTTTAACCTCATGAATATGAGTTGAATATTGTTAATGAACTTGATAAAACTGGAGAAAGGCCAGAGAGATCTTGGACTTTGGTATCTTTAGAGATTTCTGATACCAATCCCTTGTTATCTTAAGACTTAAACCCATTTAAATTACTTTTCTTTAGCTATTGCACTTACTGTCCGGGAAAAATAAAACAACAATTACCGGTACTAACAGGTGATATTTTCATGATTATTCAAGAAAATATCCAATTCTTATGGTGTCACACACCAACTGATTTACTGTGTTTCTTGTGGAAGATATCCACCGTGGTTTCATGGCACTGTCTTAAGTCCATATCACAGAATCCAATAACAAACTTCCCATCTGCTGCCTTGAAGTAGTCTAATCCTCGGCCTATCTTGATCACCCAGCCATTGTTCAACCTAAAAAACAGAGGTAATACATAAACACTGCTTAACATAAATGGATACATATTTTATCTGTTAAATTTTATAAAATATGAACAAATATATATATAAATGAGAAAAAAATAATGTCATTAAAAATATGATTTAGTAATATGATCCTGATTGAGGGTAACTGTAAAACTGCACCTTTTTAAAAGTTCTGGTCAGAAACCTGAGCTTTTTATTCATCACTCCAGTTAAAGTCAGCGGAATAACTGCATTTATAGCAAAAATATTTAAATGGGTGGCAGAAATGGTCGAGGGTTATACATAGCAAAGAAAAAAATATATAACATCTATTCAAATCATTATCGGGAAGTATGATATAAGACACTCTGATATTTCTTTCAGTTATGCTACTTGAAACCATATGACGGCATTAGGTCAGGTTTAGTGGCAAATATGTTTGACTTCATATGTACCGGGTAACTTGAAAGTGTTTCAGTGTTTTACCTGATTTCCCTGTCATGTAAGGAAGCTGAGTATGTTACTTTTAACGTCATATTATACTTTTCTAGGTTCTTGACTAGTTCTGATAACTTTTCTTCCTGACCCTTTCCCTAAAAAAAGATGGTACATACTGTAAAATTAACTTAATGAAATGATAAAAAATTTGAGATTTTTTTTACTTCAAGATGTATGGCATCCATCTTTGTCCCAAATTATATATTAAACATAACAACTTATAACTGTAATTCTCATTAAACAATGTAAAATTTATAACTATGCTTAAAAAAAACTGTAAATATATACACCTTTACATGTAGTAAAATCACAGCATTGAATGACCCTTCTTTAGGTACTCAATACTCACTTGGTCTTGACCAGTGGTTAAACATATTGTCTGGACTTTACTCTTGGACTTCACTATAAGTTCACAGAACCTTACAAAGTTAAGCACCTGGAAATGATAATAAGCTGCTTCTTTAAAGTCTTAGATCTATCATTCATCAATTATCATTCTCTTTTCTTTTTTATTGTTTTTATATAAAATACTTGAATGATGGATGTGGATGGGTCAGGGGACTTAAAGTCATGACCAAGTTGGGGGCTTATACCTGGTTTATTGTCTACTGTTACTTGACTTAATTATATCCAATGCAAATGACTCACTCATGCTGAGGTAGATACCTACATTAACAGTCTGTTTCCTTATCAATGTTACAGAGGTAATGCAAAAATACACCTTGTCATGTTATGAGATAATGCTGTCCCAGCAAAAATACATCAGAGTGAATTTGTTAATTCAAGCTTATGGTGTAACAGCAGTTATTTTTGTGATCAAAATTGCAATTACAAATTCAAGACCTCCCTTCCCTGAACAGCTATCAACACTTTTTAAATGCCTGTTTAATCACAACTAAAAGCACTACATTTTGTTACTAGGGGTTCTTTTTGGGAGGCTTCTTTCTGATTTTATCAGTAAAGAAGTGAAATAATGCCTTTGTTTGATGAAACATCATAATTAGGGGCTTATGTCTCACAAACAAATCAATTCAAAAGCAAATGCTGGCAACAAAATGTAGATCGTACCAATTTTCATGATGATACACCTGACTAAGTTACACAAACTGATCACTTTCTGCTTAACTAAGCAGTTAAATTAATGATATATGGGGGAAGAGCTAAAAAGCAGAAGTTTATGGGGTGGTGTATAAAAAAATGAAAAAAAGGAGTTTTTTTTTTTTGCTCTATGAGTGATTTTATTGTTGTAATATCTACTAGTAGATAAGTATTTTACATAAAAGGAATGGGGAAAAATATTTTTAACATTTTTGGTCATTTTAACATATCTATCTACCTTAAGTTTCTTAATGATATTCAAATAAGCAGAAATATTGTACAAGGCAATTCAAAAAGAAAGTTTATAAATTGACCTAAGTCTGCCAATAAATTTTAAAATTGTATTCTGAGCTGATACAAATGTGGACCACAGTTTTAAAAAAATTTTTATCACAATTATTATTATATTTATTATGTGTCACCTGATGATTGCTCCTGATGTAGGGATCCTCAACCTCTACCACAGTGACCTGTTCATCAAAAAATCTCCCAAACACTTTCTCATAGCTGTTACCAGTTGAGTTGTTCTCTATCTTCATCTGTTCGTGGTAACGTCCCGCTGGAAAGTCAGAGAGCAGCTTTTTCAATGAGCTTAGTTTACAAGTGGCTTACCTGATGCTCCCATGGACAGTGCTGGCAATATTTGTAAGAATGCAACAAGGCTGTTAAAGCAAAGAAGCCCAACTGGCAAATTAAAATATTAATGATTCTGCATATTGAAAACACTCACACAAACTAACAAGAATATAATTTTTTGAACCACAACCTACAAGTGACACCACTGGCGCTTAACTACAGCCATAAAATTGCTCTAAAATTACTCTTTTTTATCTTATACAGCTACGAAGTACAACAGTTGCATTATGCACACCTTCCTTTTCTGCCTCAATATGCTGTTTAACTTTTTCAGCTCTGTCCATGTACTCTGTTATTCTTTGTCTAAATCGCCTTTTCTTTTCTTCATCTGTGGTGGCTGAAAGCAAGTTTACAAAGATTAGCAAATTCTGTCAACATAAATGCTTGTGAACACATTCTTGCAAGGACTGACTTCTTACAACATTACAGAAGAATTATTACAAAGTTATTACAATTATAGCAATACAGCAGACTAATGGGTGAGTATTTTCACTACTTGTCAAAACGGGTTATCTAAAGTTCATTCTTAATAAATGTCAAATAAAAAGGGCATACTTGGTTACTTAACACTTGGCTTGTTAAAACACTTAAGAGCAAACATATAGAACTGGCTAGCTGAAAAGTGCCTTTAATGCAATGCACCATGAGTAATATGTCTATATCATATTTACTAGTAATTAAATTGTACCATTTTTCTTCTACACAAACTAAACCTCAATTGTTTTAATACTGGTTCCTGTATAATTTGAGAGACACTTACAGATAAATTACATATTTACCTTTAAGAACATCAAGTAACAGCTGGATCCCCTCTTGATAGCATACTAGCGACTCTGTAAAACGTTTTTCACCGTCCAGTTCAACTGCACGCTTCAAGAGACCAATAGCTGAGGTCTCGACTCCAGGGGTGGCCATTCAAAATGCTGGACTGTGGCACTTTTAACCAACCATGAAGTTTCATCTATTTTACTAGTGCCTTCTGAAATATCATAACACACAAAATGTATTTATTATCAAATATATATTCTTCAGTTATGTATTAAGGGGGGGGGGGGGGTATTTGTAAAGTGCAAATTTCATTAAGTGTACCCCCTTATCAGGGCAACAGATTAACTTGAATTTTCTCACCAGATATGTCTTTGTCTAAGTCAAGATAATTTTCTGCTGTGCTCACAGTAGAGAATTGTGTCATTTGTTATCAGGTAGGTACAATGTGTTTGTCCCTGCAGTAAAAAGCAAGTTAGATCTTTTTACAAGAATCTTGGAGTGGCCTTCAAGTTAATGTGTACTGTATACATGTATACATACATACAATCTGACTAATGAGCATTTAGCTTTGAGCTCTCAAATATTTTTTTAAATTATTCTTTTTCTATTTTTCTATTTAAATCTAAACTCACCCTTCAAGAAATTTACACTTTCATGCTCTTGATACGTCTTTTCACCGTTTTTCTCACCCAAAACCGGTGTGACTGAAATGCGCAATATACCGCAATACAGCGCAACACAGTGCAAAACACTTCAAAAAATCAAATCCAGTTGCAATTACACAAAAGAAATGACCACTCCCAGCAAAGAAGGGTGACATAAAAACAACCTATATTACTAGGTAAGTAATATCGTTGATATACCTTAACAAATCAGCAAGACTTTTATATTGTCGGGTTGGCAGCAATGTTGGCGAGTGGCTCTTCTTGGATATATTACTGGCCAAGAAGAGCTACTCGCCAACATGGCGGCTGACCAAGCAATGAAAAAATTGTCAAGTTGTATCAGCAATATTAATTTCTATGTACTATATTTTGCTTTTATATCACCCTAATTTATTTGAGATTACCCTTTCCTGTGTTTACTTGCAACTGGACTTGTGTTATCAAGTGTATTGCGCTGTGTTGCGCTGTATTGCAGTGTATTGCGCATTTCAGTCACACCTATTGCGCATTTCAGTCACACCGGTTTTGGTTTTTCTCTGCATGCTTACCCCAAACACCGTCTTGAAGTGTCTGATTTATCAACCCAATGTCAATAAGACTAGCTGCTGCTTCTGAGTGAAATGGTCCTTTTTTCTCACAGATGTTTTCTGCATAAAAATTTAGAGTAATATTATAGCCCTATAACGAATGAAACCTTAAAGAAATTCCGATGAAGTAGTATTAGTAGTACCAACTCGCCAGTACCAACTTGACAAGAAAGGACGCCGAGCATAAATCGATGCAAACTCACCTACATGTACGTATTGCCGACTGATTTTGTTTTACAACCACTAGTGCTTCACACACTTGAAAACACCCGGATGATTAAGCCGAAAATATTATTCAAAGGGTGATACTTTAAATTTTTGTTCTCCCTACAATTTCCGGGTGTTGGTCTGATAGGAAGTTCAACTTATCGCGGGGGACGCTTAGCTTCGGAGTAAATGAAATCAAGTGTATTGATTAGCCAAAAAAAAAAAAAAAAGAATATAAAATATCGTTTATTACACATATAATAGATTAATTTAAATGCTTAATAAAATTGTATGTTAAAAAGTACGACAAAGAGCATAACAGTCTTTATAGTCACCATTAATATGTTTCAATCAAAAGATAATAATCATTTTGTGCGGTCCTGTAAGTCGCCAATAACAACAACAGCAACACGTTTGTCATATGTCACAGTTTTTGCGAGTACTGTGTCCTGTACGATCATGGCAGGTCTAGCAAGAGAAGTTGTCAGGTGGCTTCAGAGTTTAGATCTAACTTGGCAAGTAAAAACACCAAAATGGTGAGTAATTGATATTCTAACCTGGAAATCTTCTCTTAACGTCAGTATTTGGCACGGGCTTGGACACAAATTTATGCTAAATATACTATAATTTCTTGCATGTGACCATTGGGCGAGATCTTGCTCATTGATTAGTTGAATATGCCATAATCAATATATGTGTACTGAAACCATAACAGTGAAGTATTTGAAATTTCATTTATGTGTTTGAACTTTAATTAATTGTTTCCAATCCAGCGTACAAACATTTTTTCAACACCATTGAAGAGTAACATGTGCATACACTGATATACGAGTATAATGCAGTGCAGTTAGTTAACTATATTTTTCAGGGATTTGTCAAATGGCTACCTAATAGCAGAGATCTTCTCTTGGTATTACCCACAAGAAATCACAATGCACTCATTCAATAATGGCACGTCACTTGATATGAAGTTGTTAAATTGGCACGTCCTTAAAAATGTAAGTAAAGAACAAATGAATGAAAATTATTACACAGATAAAATATACATGGATTTTGATTTTTTTTCTGGATTTACATTGTTGTTTATGTAATTGCTCTTGTGATTTACATGTAACAAGCGATCCATCCATTTGGTAACATATACATGTTCCAGTGTAGGGTACAACATTAGAATCATTAATCTCATGCAACCCTCTTGTTTTTATTTATGTATTATTTACTGCTATTTGGACATGATGTATATGAGCACATAGAGTCACTAGGAAAATTTTATACAATGAGTTAAATATTTGTTGAGTTTTTAACAATAGAAAAGTAGAATATTTTACTCATTTATGATAAAAAACATTTAATTTTTTTCCCAGTTTTTCAAAAGGCATAAGTTTGCAATTCCTGAAGAATATGTAGAAGGCACAATACACTGCAAGGAGGGAGCTGCTAAACTGCTAATAGAAAGCATATATGAAATTCTTACAAATAGACAGTAAGTTATACAATGTATATTATATTTTCACTATTTACACAGGGGGTTCAGTTGGGATAGGTGATTGTATATTTGAGTTAATTGGTTTTAGGTACAGTAACCTAAAAGTTAAGTTAAAGCAATGAAGTAATAATTTTGATTTTTCCCCTTACCACTACAATCATTACAGTTTTGATTTTTTTTCATTGCAAAAAATTATGATAAATAAAATAGTAAAATTAAGTTAGGAATAAAAAGAAAGGAGGAAAAAGAAAAAATAAGATTGAACAATATGCAACAGTATGTGTAGACAATGACAGTGATATGTGATTGAATAGATAAATGCTTAAATTTAGGGAAAATTTGATATTTTTTTTATTCTTAATTTTATTTCATTTTTCTTGAAGAGTACGACGATTGCCATCTGAATATGAGATTGATTTCACAGACCGACAGTATCAGGAAAAGCTTCCTATGCATGCGCGCTCTACAGCATCACAAGCTGTGAAGAACAACCTTAGAATTACTGAGCTCATGGCAGATAACAGCTTTATTTTAGGACAACAAAAAGTAGGTTCATGAGGCTTAGAATGTGTATGTATTAAGACAAGTGTGGATCATTGCATCTACTAGTACTGTATGCGAGAGCCATATATTTAACAAAATCATCTTACTATTTCAAGTTAATAATTTTGCAGAAAAATTCAAGAAAGTTAAGGAGTAGAAAGACCCACCACAGTGCTAGTATACTTCATTTGTGGTATTGGAGTATTTAAAATTTTGGTGCCATTATTATTATTATTATTAAACTACATGTAGTGTGAAAACTACATGTAGTTTTGGAGCCAGTATATCAAATTCAGTTATATATGTTTGAATCTTTCGTGAAATATTAAGGATGTTATTATTTTTCCAGGCTCAGGAAATCATAGGAAGTCATGTGGAGCACAGGCGACAGGAAAGGTTAGAGGATCCGCGACGCTTTGGTATTAAGCCAACACTAGGAGAGCGCAGCCCCCGCCGCCCTCCTCCCCCACTTCATGGAAATACTGAATTCAGTGAATTAGAGAGAGGAATTATGCATTCTAAAAAACATTCAGCAGCAAGTAAGCATTCATATTGATAAGTTTAAATTTGTGGTCTGCATGTTCATATGCTGTATGTGGCATTAATGATTTTGTACAGAAAAAGTGTTTATTTGTGATATGAGCAGGGTGTTTATCAATTACTGATGTTATTGTATCTCTTAACCTGGTGAAAGGATGGGAAAAGCACAGTTCAGCTGAAATGGTTGACTGTAAAGGTTTTCATACATTAATTTGAATATTGTAAGTAAAAATACACTACATTAAAGTTTATGCATTAACAATGATGCCCTGTAGATTATAAATTATATTTATTTTCATTTTCCATTTTTAAAATGTTCAATTTTGTTATTTCCAGGCAAGGGTAGTAATGTTTCGGCCTCTCCATCTCGAGTCCCTACAGTGCAATTTAAGGAAGTGGAGGTCAAACAACTGGGAAGACCAACACCACAGTTCAGACCAGCCTTATCTGCACAATAGGGGGCACCACTGTCTTCACTATCTGCTCAGTAAATGGCAGCTGGTTATTATCATGGGCTTGTTTTCATATAAAAAATTGAAAATTCCATGACATAAAAACTTTAATTCACAATGACTGCTTCTTAATGTGGTTATTCTTTTAAACAAATCTCAAGAAAGCTTTTGTGAAGCCTGGAAAGTAAAGGGCCTAAATGGAAAGTTTAGGGTGTGCATGTTAGTAGAAAAAAATTATGTTGCCAATTATTATTTAATACATGAACTTTCAATTTATTTCTAGGTTTCATGTTCTAATACTGCAACTGTAAAAATTGTGGACCATTATTAATACAATGTTTCACTTGGATTGTGCATTTAAAAAGTATTGCATCTGGAACCAGTGTGCATGCATGTAGAATTAATAGTGCTTTTATTATGTATGTAAAATGTGGTGATATGTACATAATATATTTTTATCCAACAAAACATGTAATTTTTAGTAAAATGAAGTTTATAAAAAATGTAAAATGGTACAACAGAGACAATTTTGTTATGTTTACCAGTATATTGTGCTACAGGTACTACTACGGGGTAGTTACTGTAGTTCTACTCCAGTAATGTACACACTAGTGAAAGGCTTAGGCTTCATTCACATGCAATGTCTATTTTCTAAATTCTATTTTCTATTTGCGGTATGTCTTATGATCACGGTCTGTGCCCTGAATATCCCGCAGCGTAATTACTGGCAGCGCGAACCAGTTACTATAAGTTACTACAAGTAACTGGCTCGCGCTGCCAGTAATTACGCGGCGGGATATTCAGGGCACAGACCGTGATCATAAGATAGTGCGAATAGAAAATAGATTTTTAGAAAATAGACATTCCATGTGAACGAAGCCTTACATTCCCCCTCCCATCCAATTTATCTTTTCAAAACTCTGGTGCACCAACAACCAGACAGACTTTATCAAACGTACATGTACCTTAAGAAAACACATTCTTAGCTTATATTACCTGAAAAGATAAACTTTACTGGTTTATTTTTTTGAATATGCTTCAAATTTGATTCATTTGACCTATGACCCCATTTTACTACAAGTATGGCATGATTCAGTGTTACATTGTATGTGGAAACACCGTAACATACCATCCTCCTGCCATCCAGCATAATTGTGGTAAACATGCCGTGAATTCACTTGGGAGTTGTTGTTTACGCGATTGTTGAAATGACCTTTTATCTATATAGGCTATTCGTGAAAAAAATACTTCCCCGCACCAATATTCCCTCTTTGTAAATTTGTGCATTATGCGTAAGATAAACCCTACACCAATAGATCCCTGCATTAATTGAACCAACCCCTGTATTATTACCGTATACGCGCATCGTAACTCCCCACACCGAAAATCCCCTGCATCATTGCTTCCCCGCATCTTTACTCTCCTGCATACTGGTAGTTACTTCCCCGATGCATTCTTCACATTACCGACATTGTTACTCATCAATATTATATTAAAAATAGGCCATGTAAATTGATTAGTTGGCTAACTAACCAGGAGCGGGGCTTACCCTTAATTTGAGTTTTTTTTTTGTTTTTTTTTGCAAATGGAAAAATGCATTGGGAAGGCCTGTTTGCAAGCTAAATGGAAAAATTACAACTGGCCCCAGGGAACCCCTTGATGATGGTGCTTATAAATATATGCTTTTAAATCACCTACATGTACACTTTTGATTTAACATACTCTTTTGTATAAACATTTTTTTTTTCAATTCTGAGTCTGACTGACCATAAAATTAAGTGGCACTGCTCATTAATCTTATTTGAAATTGAAAAAGAAAAAAAAATTAAATTTGTCCAACGATCATGTTTTTTATACTGTAGTGTAATATTACACCACAGGTGCTGTTTAGTGCTGTTCATTATTTTGTGAACTGCACTTATAGAAGATATGTCAATTTCTTCCTCTTCTTTCGGTGGAATATCCATTCAATGTATCAAGTAAAATTTGCGAATTGGAAAATTTAACTGGTGAGCTGAATGCCAAAATGTGTCCAAAACTGAACAAATTTAGTCAAAGATGATATTTACAAATAGGCTTTAAAGGTGGCGCCATTGTAAACTTTTATTTGCAGTGGACAAAAAAAAGCACTCATACAACTAATTTGTGG